TTTGATTCTTGCTACCAATCTGAAAGTTTTAGCTGTCTATATAGTTAGTCTTTCTCATAATACCAAGTCCATTGTTAGTCTCAGTCTTGGGAAATGCTCATACATTAAAAATAGAGGTGAACATACTCTTATTATTTTTATCTTTCTCTTGGAAAATGGATAGTATCAGCCACAGTATGAATGAGATAATATTGTATAGGAAGATAAATTATATTAGTGTTTTCTAGACGTTAACCTTCCTTTAATGTATATTTTCTATTCATAGATTGTAATGAGATGAAATGGTGGATACAGGGAAACAGTGTTCAATAAATGTATCCCATGTAGTTATTAAATAGGTCATTATGATTAAGTATTCAGTTTAGTGGTTAACATTTAGAAATTTTCTTTGTATTGGGTTGTCGGAAAAGTCATGACGTATTTTTCTGTTTTTCATTGCAAAAATGCATCATGACTTTTCTGACAACCCAATAGTTTGGTAAAAACTGGTAAAAATTGTCTATCTGTGGTGTTTATTATTATCTGTATTTGGTTGTGACTTTGAAAGGCATAGTTGAACATTATTATTAACTTGAATGAGAAGTTGGTAACATTAGGATCCAGACTGGAATTCCATTTAAGTCACAGTTTGGTCGTGTACTAGATTTTGAAGACCATTTTGTAATAAGGTTTGACTTGACTTGGAGTCATTTGATAGAAAGAATCCTTAAACAGGCTTTTGGAATTTGATTCTTCATATTCCATCCTCCACTCCATGAAACTGTAACCTTCACTCTGAGTACTGTTGTGTTTTTAGGTCTCCTTTGGGTACTTCTTAGTCTCCTCCTTTTTAAAGTTCTTCCTTGGATTTGAAGAAACTTGGAATCTTATGTAACAATGAAGGCCATTGCTTTAGAATGTGAATTGCTCCTTCTAATAGTTTAGATATTTAAGTGAAATCTGAAGAAAGAGTTTTTATGAGGTGCTCTTATTCCAATGACATAGTCATAAATAAATTCAGTTATCAACAATTTGAAAAATAGTTTCCTAAGGCACAGTTTTAATTCTGGGTTATTAAAGTGATTTTATTGTATGAGGTAGGTACACTGTCCATTTTATAAAGGATGTGATTTGACCCATAGCATTCACTCAAGAGGAACCACATTCATAGTTGGTTTTATGAGATTGGCTTTGTCTTTCAGAGGTCAAGTTACTAATGACGTTTACAGAGATGGATGTAGGTATAAAATGGGATCCAGCATTTCAGTGTTCAACAAGAAATAAAGCCTCAGGGCAGTCCAGAATGGTGTGTCTGTGTGTGTGTTTCTGTCTCTGTCTGTCTGTGTCTCCCTCTTTCCCCCTCCCCCCAAAATGGTGTGTGTGTGGGTCTCTTCCCCCCCCCCAAATGGTGTGTCTGCCTCCCTCCCTCTCCCTCTCCCTCTCCCTCTCTCTCTCTCTCCCTCTCTCCCTCTCTCCCTCTCCCTCTCCCT